CTTGTTTTATACAACCTTTAATAAGAAAGAAGTTGTGTAAAATAAGCCATTATCTAGTGACAACTGTTTTTCACAATAGGCAGAGAATGAGACTGGTATGGTTATTTTTCCAGCTTCCATTACTTCACAGGGAGGAAAACATACAGTACTTGGCATGTTTTTGTAATCATCTTAAAATCAATATTCTGGAACAAAGCAGGGCACCAGCTATACTTATTGCATTTGACATCTGAGACTGAAAATCATAACTCCAGTCAATTAGCAGTATTCATGCTCGTGCCCGATGGCCCTGCTTTTAACCCATTAATCTGTCTACCTTTTCTCGTCCCTATATGCACCGGGTTGTTTTAGTTTCCAAAATTCAACAAATTCAACCTGTCCATTCAATATTTATGGACATTTTACTTAAATGAAAAGTGACTTAAAATAACAGAGCCATGTTTCTTCACTTGCAATGCTCTTTGTACTATTGGCATTACATGGTAAAATGCAACAGTTATTGACCTCTCATTTCTGTGGTATATCGAGGTTCTGACAGCCGTCAATACCCAGGATCTGATTTCTTTATTTGAGCTCCACGGTACAAGCGCTGCACACATCCCTGTATTTAAAGCGGTTTGTTGCGAGGTCTGTAGTTTTGCTTCACCAACTCAATTATTGCATTCTTGAACTGCAATGTGTTTACTTGCGGACACTGAGGCAGTCGGTGGGAAGGTATTGATCAGAGTATAACGTCACGGGCAGGCGCGAGTGCAGGATGAAAAGTGTTTCCTGCTTAATGGCCTGTTTTTTAAGTAGGTGGGAACGGCTCCTAATTAGCCAACAATTCCTGAATAACTCAGTTTCCCTCCCTCAAAATCCCCCCTACCCCCTCCCCCTTGGTCACCAGCTGCCAATCTGTCCTGTTTCAGAGAGTTCATGCTTACCGCAGCGAAAGCCTTTGTAAAAAGAGGACTCCTGGGGCCTCGACTGCCTGGGTGCAGCCTGCTGCCTGCGCTGACTAGCAACTGTCAGTTTATTTTATCTCAACCTTTTCATCATACTGAAGAAACTGGTTGGCTCGAGCCACCTGAGAGGTCTGAAGATTCAGTACCTACATGTCATTAGCCAGGATAGCTTAGTGTCTCCCTGGCAGCAACTGATCTGAACGTTTCCCAAAATATAACCTTGAAAATATAAATATATATGTATATAAATATATATAAATATATATGAAAATATAACCCTTCGTTTGACGAAGGAATTGGCAACACTTAAGGCTGATGGTATATTTGTCACCAAAAAAGGCATGTGCATACACGCACAGGCACTCTTTAGCTACAAGCATTTAAATTCTGTGCTCAGAANTTTTTTTGTAATCCCGATAAGTATTTATTATGCTTTAGTAAACAGTCACGTAGTCTAAGATGACACTTCAATGCAACACTGGGGCTGTTGCATTGTTCAAGGTGCTGTCCTTCGGATGAAATGTTAAACCGAGGTCCCGTCTACTGTTCAGGTGGACGTTAAAGATCCCAAGGCGTTATTCTAAAAGAGAAAGGAGTTTTTCCCGGTGTCCTGGCCAACAATCTCGCCAAATAAAGTGGGTCACTCACTCCATGACAGTTTGTGAGACATTGCTGTGCGCAAATAGCTGCCGCATTTCAGCCACAACAATCCACGTTACCATTATAAATAATGTAAAAAAATACTCACATGAAAGTAATCTACGGGTATCTCCTCACTAGCAACAATCCTTACCACATATTTACTTTCCTTTTAATATCAGATATCTACTAGATATTGAATGGATGAAGTATCTATGGGTCTGAAAATGCAACGTTTCCTCAGTTGTGAAAAAGTCTGACAATAGATCAGAAAATCAGCCTTCACGTTTGCCTTTTTTTGAGAAAAAAAGAAAACAGCAGAAATCCCACTGTTTCTATCGTACACCAAAAGCCACAGTTAATGACGTGAATTCTGTTTCACGAATGTCAGATTTTCAATCCTAACATTAACTTTCTATAATGTCTCACAAACTGCCATGGAGTGAGTGACCCATTTTATTTGGCGAGATTGAAAGGAGAGGAAGAAGTCCAATTTTGAATAAAAGCTAGTCAACAAAATATGTGTGTACTATGAATAGATGAGGGGAAAGAGGTGACAATGTGTGTGTATATATATATATTGCAATAGAAGTTTCTGCAAGCTAGCATGATCCTATTAGTAATCCTATCATAGTATGTGCAGGTTATAATCTTTATAGTCTAGATGTCAGTTTCACCACTTCCATTATATCATTAAAATTATATTTTGCAATCATTAAACAACTGCACCTTTAGAGCTCCAGCCAATTTTAAGAGGAATGTCACTCATCTTTAGCATCTTAAAAAATAAAATAACTACCACTAATGTTAAAAGCCTCCCTCCCAACACCCCCTGGTCTACACTTGTTATGTTTTGTTTAGAATATACTCAGTGAGTGCCAATGATATAATCAGAAGAACAGACGAGTGGGAGTTTCTGAGCTCAGAAGTGTAGCTGAGTTGAATTAATATATGCAGTTGAATTATCACTGAGGTGCTCCTGGGTTAATAACTGCATTTCTGCAGATATTAATTCAGCCCCTTTGTACTGACGTGCTCAGTAAATTCTGTCTACAAATCTGTCTGATAAACTACCAATTCACACTTTTTAAACAAAAGCCTGTCAACAAAATAATAATAATCATGATAATAATCCTTGCATTTGATATAGGGCCTTTCACATTGTCGAGACATCTTAAAGCGGTTCATAGGATATGATGTAAAGTGTTTGACTGGGTATCTTGTGAGCGAAACAAAAGTCAGTTTTGTACAGCAATGTCTCACAAACAGCCATGTAGTGAGTGGCCAATTTTATTTGGGAGAATGTTGGCCAGGCCACCGGGAGAAACTCCCTTCTCTTTTCGAGTACTGCCATAGGATCTTTCACGTCCACCTGAACAGGCAGACAGGATCTCATTTTAACATCTCATCCGAAGGATGACATGGAAAACGTTAGTAAATCTCAATTATCCTAACATCACAGAAAGCTTAACAAATTTGAAAAGGAGGACATTTGCCTTATTGTGTTTGTACCAGTGCTGGATCTCCCAATCCTACTCTATTCCCATTCCACTGCAATTTTGTTGTATCATCCAATAATATTTCTCGTCAGACATTTATCCTATTCCCTTCCAAACTGTTTGTGACTGAGTTTTAAAAAGACAACACATCCACAGGAATAATAATATTCCTTGCATTTAATACAGCGCCTTATCATATAATTGAGACATCTCGAACAACTTCACAGAATATATCGAAAATGGATTGAATATAATTTGTCGGCCAAAAATACACAGTAAGATCTAACATATACTGATTGCTAATGATAGTAAACCTTTTGTTTGTACTTATAATATGGATTTCGTATTACAAGCATGGACTCTGTTAGTGATAGCAAACTGCATATTACTCCTACTTTTCACTTATATAGACCAGAGTTCCTGCTGGGATGTTTAAGATGTTTACTTGAATAAATATTATTTTGAATGCAAAAAAGAACAATGATGTTAACCAGGAGTATGTCTGTAGGGTTTTTCATTTGGACCTCACATGGATTTTCAAATACTCGCTGTCCTAATGAGCTACGCACCACCTTATACTAAATAGCTCCGCATTTTAGATTACAAATAAAAACTGTTGTTTCATCCTTATTTTAAAATGACCATGATAAATTTTAATATTGTTTATTCCCTCAATTTAAAACAAAAATAATGTAAGTCATTATCATCAGAGGAAATGGATTCAAAGTGGGTAGCATTAGGCACAGCCATTAACCCAGGGTGCTTCAATGATTAACTCATTTTAATTGTGTGTATTAAATCAGTTCCCTCACGCTGTGGAGTTGAAATTCCACCTGGGTTTAGGTAGTCTCTGTTTTTGCAGTATTCTAGCACATCCGGAATTTGTCAATTTTTTAATACAGTCCTAATTTGCTAAATTTTACAGTCTCTGAAATTCTACATAAATAGAATAAATAGACGGATGGAATTTCTATCCAAAAGTCTCCGTATCTGCTCCTTGCTCAACAATTACTCCTCAGACATTTATGCAATTCCCTTCCAAACTGTTTGTAACTGAGTTTTAAAAAAAACACATTTAATTTTACACAAGATACCACAAACCATTTGGACTTTTTACCATTAAAATATCGACTGTCACTTTTTAACTATTGAAACTTGTAGGCAATGAAACTCACGCATCTATCATAGAGTAAACATAAACATCTATCATGTTTACTAAACAAATTTCCAATTTAACAATTTAAAATAAATAATAGATTTCTTTGGAATGAGGTAACTATGCGACTACAAAACTGATGCATATTGTGATTAGATAAAAGAACATTCAAATTTGACTTCTTATCATTAAATGCTGCATCAAGTTTCCAAACCACTAAATTGCCTCAAACAACAAACCTTTCAAATAGCGCACTTGATTTAAAAAAAGAGAACCACTCTGCTTTTGAATGCAAAGGACCAAATGTTGTTAGCACAACAGAAAAAAACAGCTTTCAATGTCATTTTGTAATGTACGTTTCAAATTCAGAATCATTACTTCATGTCAGTCTGCATCCCTAACCAGCATCATCATCACATTGACCAACATGAAAACACATTAGTAAAGACTAACCATCATTCACTTTCCATCTCCTACTGAGATGACATAAGAAAATTTTCAAGCACACTGGCTCCATCTGCCAATACCAATTAACACACGTTACCGGTGCAGCCAGTCACATTCTCCAATGGATTTCACACATATAAATATCTAAACATGCTCGTCAATAGCAAGAAAGTGACATGACATCTAAAATGATCAAATTTAAAAAAGTAACTAAAACAGTGTGATTGCTGTGAAAAGAACAACTATCCATACAATATGATTGAGCTATTAACAATACAGAAGCACTAATGGATTCTGTGACCAAGTACTTACCATCTGTAATGGGCTCATTGAACATGTCTATTCTATTATTCTTCCATATCACCAAACGGTCGAGATTGACACGTTTACCAGCTTCAATGTTTCTACAAACCGCGGTCATCATTGAGTGAGCCTTGGCGATACCAAAGTGAACCTGCACAATCTCCAGCAGCGGTAGATCACTTAACGTTATGGCAATATCATATGCTTGTGAAATGTACTCGCAAGCCAAGTCATATCGGCCCTGTTAGGAAATTTTACAAAAAGGAAAAAGTCAGATAGGTTTTTAGAATGGCAAAAGATTTTTCTGATACTTGTGGAATAAGATCAGTCAGTGTAAATGGATGCTTCTTAATGCATAGACTCCAGGGTAACACAGAGGTTATAGCAAAGACCTTGTTTGATTGCATGAGAAACAAAAACAGAACAGTAACCTTTATGTGTTGGGAATTCATCTCAAGCTGAAAACATGGAAGTGAAGAGATATTACTGGAATCTGTAACTCTAGACTGGGTACAAAATATGTACATGAAGTCAACAGAGAAACGTGAATTTATGCAAGGTTTTTCAACTGAATCAAATAAACGGAGCAGGATAATGTTTTCACATATCTGGTCTCTATTACTGAAACTAAAACACAGAGATCAGGCAATGTTTGCTGTTATCAGACATGTGTTTGCTTTTGGTTCTCAATAAATCCAAACGTAACCTTCAACCACGTGCTACATAAAAATGTTTTAAAAACAATATATCGTTCATAGTTATTCTAAAGCTAATCCTAGCTAATAATTCTCCTTCCTAGCTGCACAATAATTCACTAACATTTTCTATGAATCATGAAAGTATTATTTTGCAGAGATCATACCACAATCATGGCCTTACAAAAGTCATTTTAGAACTGCTTTTAACTCTTGTTTGATTAATTTTCAATTTTATGGAAAAACCTAAACATTTTAATGTACCTTACGTTTCTCTGTCCTTATAGGAAAGGTAAACACTATAGTAAAGAAGGCATCAGATTACTGCCAGTCAAGTGGCACTGCAGTGCATGCTAAATGCACTTCTACTCCATCACACAAGGAGTACCTTGGAGAATGCTTAAAGGAGCAGGTGCCTGTAGGGGAAAGTGCTACTGACAAGATCATTGTCAATGTCATTGCCAAAAAAAATAAACCCTTAACCCCTTATGTCTCACTGGTTACGCTCATTAATTAAGCTCTACCTGTGAGGAGGAATCTTTAAGTGAAAGGTTGCTATGTAGCCCCAAGCAAGCTGACATTTTGCAAGAGAGAGATGTGCTCAGCTGACAGCAACCAATGGTGCTAGCAGTAAGCCTGTTCACCAGGCAAAATGGAGATCAACACAATTATGGACCCCTTCTGGAAGGAGAGCGACAATTGCCCCACTCCCTCCACCCCGAGCTACATTTATACTCTTGTGAGGAAGGAGGCTTTGTTTTCAGCAATAGAGTAACATGGAATAGAAGTCTGGTTCATACTTCCCAATCCACAGGGTTTAAGCACCTCCCAAACTGCCTCATACTCCCGTAAATCCCCCTGGGACACCAGCCATCTCCGTTCTCTCAAGCACAAGTGCGAGCTGCCAAACGAGCCTGGACCAATTCCAAACTAACTGTCCATCGGCAGATCTGGCTTCACCACACCAAGATCTACTGCTGCGCTCCTGCCTCCTCCAAATCCTCCTTCTACTCCAAGGTTATCTTGGAGGCAAAGGACAACTCCTGGCTTCTCTTTTCTACCACAAACTGTCTCCTCCGTCCACCTTGCCACGCCTCGCCCATCCTCTCCTCAAACTCCAACTGTGAGGAGATGCTGGATTTCCTCGAAACCAAAATCGAGGGGATACATTCAGCCACCTCAGCCTCGTCCACAGCCACCCCACATCACCTCTCCCTCATGACCCACCCCCTACCCATCCCCCCTATAATCCTTCGACCCTATCTCTCCCTCCTCCCTCTCCACGATTGTTCGCAAACTCAAACCCACCACCTGCTCCCTCGATCCCATCCCCACCTCTCTCCTCATCTTCCAGCTCCACCTTCTGGCCCCTCTCCTGTCCGATGTCATCAACCTCTCCTTATCAACCGGTTCAGTTCCAACCCCTCTAAAAATAGCCGTCATCACCCCCATCCTGAAAAAACTTTCCCTGGACCCATCCCTCCTCTCCAGCTACTGCCCCATCTCTAAGCTCCCATTCCTCTCCAAGATCATGGAACGAGTCGTCGAGTCCCAGCTCCGCTCCTTTTTCTCTCGCCATTCCCTCCAATCCGGCTTCCGGGCTGCCCACAGCACAGAAACAGCCCTGGTCAAAGTCACTAATGACATTCTGAACATCTGTGATCAGGGCTCCCTCTGCCTCCTTGTCCTCCTCGACCTCTCTGCCACCTTCGACATTGTCGACCACTCCATCCTCATACACCGCCTCTCCTCTTTACTTAATCTTCGCGGACCTGCCCTTACCTGGTTCGATTCCTATCTCTCTCACCATCTCCACTTTTTTGCCTCAAACGGTTTTTCCTCCAGCCCTCGCACTGTCATGTCTGGCGTCTCCCAGGCTCTGTCCTTGGCCCTCTCCTCTTTAATATCTACATGCTCCCCCTTGGTGACGTTATCCGCAGACATGGGGTCAACTCCCATATGCATCAGGATGACACCCAACTATCTTTCTGCTTCCACCCTCAACTCCAGGACCACTGCTGTCCTGACAGACTGCCTGTCGAACATTAAGTCCTGGATGAGGGCAAACTTCCTACAGTTGAATGTGAACAAGACTGAGGCCCTCCTGATTGACTCGCGCCAGCGCCTCTGCACCTCAGCCTCTGGCAGCATTGACCTCCATGGTTGCACACTTCAACTCACCGCCAGTCAGGGACCTAGGTGTCTTGTTCGACCCTCAACTGGCTTTTCTTCCCCATATCCAAGCCATGACCCCTCTGCCTTCCCTCACCTCCGTAACATCGCCCGACTCTGCCGCTACCTCACCCCTCAGGCCACTGAAACTCTTGTTCATGTCTTCATCACCTCCAGGCTCAACTATGCAAACTCCCTGCTTGTCGGCCTTCCCAACTCCTCCCTCCACAGGCTGCAGATAATCCAAAACTCTGCAGCCTGTGACCTCTCCCGCACCAAACTCTGTGACCCCATCTCCCCCACTCTCGCCCGACTCCATTGGCTCCCTATCCATCAGAGGATCCAGTTCAAGATCCTGGTCCTCACCTACAAAGTCCTCAAAGGTCTCACCCCCTCTACCTCTGTGACCTCCTAACCCCCTACCAACCCGCCCGCTCCCTCCGCTCAGCCGGCTCCGGCCTGCTCCACGTCCCCCGACCACCTGCCCCACCAATGGCAAGAGAGCCTTCAGCCACTCTGCCCCAAACCTCTGGAACTCCATTCCCCAATCACTCTGACTCACCCCCTCCTTAGCCTCCTTTAAGTCCCGCCTCAAACCCTCCTCTTCGACCATGCCATTGGTCACCCCCCTTCCTCTACCCTCCCTTCTCCCCCATGACCCCAGCTTGGGTCTGAAATGCTGTACATTGTCCAGCGCCCTGGGATGTCCTCCCGACGTGAAAGGCGCTATACAAATGTAATCTTGTTGTTGTTGTATCTAGCTCTTCTCTCAACTGCCAGGAACAGTGGGGATGGGGCGAGCGGGGGGGAGAGTTTGAAAGGCAGCATAATATCTTTAGCTACTAATGGTTTATGGGCAAACAGGTGAACTGAAATCATCTATTTATTGCAAAGTCAAAGATGTTTTTTTGATCACCGATCCCATGCTGTGGTCCAGATTCGGTCATATCTTTCGTTTAATTAGTCCACAAGATTTTCCTTGTTTTGGTTAATTATTATGTACTATGTATATTACTGAAACATTTAAGAGAAAATGTTATCAAGGAATGCTCCAGAATATCAATTTAACTACAATCTACAATGGTCAACCATGACTGGTTAGATTCAATTGATGAAATTCCCGTGCTCCCAAAAGGACTGGACCAAAGCATTCCATGGAGAATTGCATTTGAATAGTTATTAAAGGGCAACATAAGTATAATTCCACTCCTCCACTGAGCATAAGATTTTGTTTTACTGATTTATTTTGTAGCTCCATCTCTTGCTTGTTGCCATAATCTTGCCTTATCAATAATGCCAATATTTGTACCAGATGCATATACCTTAATTACAACAGTTTGTGCTTAATGCTTTGAATTGTTACTTTCCAGCCTCTTTTCCTTATTTGAATATCTTGTGTTCATTTTATTATATTTGGATCATTATTTCTTTCTTCCTTTTTGAGGACAGTAGCTCTTCTATGCTTTCTAACGTTTGGTTTGTCACCTCCAAATTTAACTTAAATAACAAGTATTTAGGAGAGGAGAGAGATATTTTCTACTGACAGGAGAAAATCATTAGGGGTACTATCCACAAAGTATTCATGTGACTGTATAAGTCTACATTTTGTGAATGGGCTGTAGGCCTGAAATTCAACCTAGTCTTCGCTAGTAAAGTAATTTTGTCGTAAATTTTAAAATAGCCCAAAACTGTAGAAAAATTCTTCAATTCAGTAATAATTTGGATGCTGAATTTGCACAAGTGGGTGACAGCCTGGCTCAGCTGTAGCACTCTTGCCTCTGAGTTGGAAGGTTGTGGATTCAAGCCTAAGTCAAGACTTTAACACTTCATGCTGATACTCCAATGTAGTAGTCGGGGAGTGCTGTCCTTTGGATAAGACATTAAACCTGAGGTTGTCAGTTCAGGTGGATGTTAAAAATCCATGGCACTATTTGAAAAGATGAGAGTTTCTTCTGGGGCATTGTACTGTGAAACAATGGCCCAGGTAAAATTGGTCACTCACTTCATGGAAGTTTGTATTGCACTGTTATGCGCAAATTGGCTGCCACGTTTACCTACAAACTACACAGTCACTGCACTTTAAATCCTATGAGGCTCTTTGAGATGTCCTTCTGACATGAAAGGTGCTATATAACATGCAAGGATTATGATTAATAATTATAATAATTATGAAAAGGAACCAATTTTCAAGTTAATACTGGATTGAATATCTGTCTAATGTCCTCAAATCTTTGCTCTGCCTCTCTCCTCCTTGGGATGACAGAAATATTGTGGTTGCATATGGAAGTGAGCAAATGAGGAAGAATCCAGATTTCCCTATGCCCTGAGTAAAAAAAACAAACTACTCGAACTAAGTTGTTAGTTTCACTTTTAACAAACCACAAAAGTCATACTGATTGATGGTGGACACTTGGGCAATGTAAACACAGCTTTACCCCAAATCAAACCTAGAGACCTAAGCAGCTGTTGAGTTTAAAACAACAACTTGCATTTATATAGCGCCCTTCACGTGGGGTCGCGTCCAGGAGTGCTTGATAGTGGTAGAGTCTGACACTGAGCCAGGAGAAGAAGGAGGGGGAGGTGACCATACGTACGATCAAAACGGAAGGTCTTTAGACGGAAATTGAAAGTGGGGAGGGAGGAGGCAAGGCGGAATGATTGAGGGAGAGAGTTCCAGAGTTTGGGGCGCAGTGGCTGAAGACACGGCCACCGATGGTGGAGCAGAGGGGAAGAGGAGCAAACAAGAGGCCGGTGCCAGCTGAGCGGAGGCAGCGGGGGTGGAGTGGGGGGTAAAACTGTATCAAAGTAGTAGTAAAAGTTCTATTCAGCACTGCAACCTTTTACCTTGATTGTCCATTGACCATGAGATGACTGAGAATAGTTCAGCTCAATCAGTTTATCTCAGTTAGTAGCACATGTGGGTTGAGAGGGAAATGGAGGAAAAGGGGTGAGGAGAGAAAGTAGAAAATCAGAAATCACAAGCTTTGATAAAGCTATTAATGGAAAAGTGTTTTGAAAATTACTGTGACTATAACCAAGCTTGTGGAGTCCTGTAGCTCAGTGGTTAGAGCACTCGCTTTGCAAGCGAGTGACCTGAGTTCAATTCCAGGCAGGGCGAAACCTTGGGCAAGTTTCCTTACTCCACACAGAGCCTAATAATAATCCCTCCAAAAACCCCCAAAAAACAATAATAAAATTGGTCATTTTCAATCTACGACTGTTTGTGGGACATTGCTGTGTGCAATTGGCTGCCGCGTTCGCCCACAAATATACAGTCAATTCACTTTACAGTGTGTTCTGTGAAGCGCTTTGGGACGTCCTCCCGACGTGAAAAGCGCTATATCAATGCAAGGATTATTATTATTATTATAATAAATCAGATAAATAACAAATACAATGAACAGAACAGTATCAGATAAAGGATGGGAAATAAAAACAAAAAAATCGGTTTGAAAAAAAAAAACTTCAAATCAATAAATCTAAGCTTACATCTCAATTAGCAAAACATTATTTTTTCACTAAAACAACTCCAGGCAAAATAATATCAGAGTGTAAACTGGGTTAGTGAAAAAGAAAGATGAACATATATGGTAAAGTCAGAGTTAAAATGAAATTTCTAAAAAAAAAATTCAATAGGGCAGAAATGTTCCTGCACTCCTGAAGGTTAAAATGTAAAAATATCCTTGGGTTTCACCAAATAAGGATCAAATGGGCATTTTCCTTATTTCAACAGGCACTCCACTGACAAAGTATAAATTGACACTTACCAGGGTATTATAAATGACCCCAAGGGATTTGCATGCATCCACTAGGCTCCGTTTCTCACTGAGTCTCTTTGCCACCTCCACAAACATTTCAAGATAACGAATGGCTTCATTGATATTTCCCACGCTATAGGATACAAAGAGCAAAACTTTTGGCTTAATATGAATCTGGTGGATAAAACCAAGCCAAATATTATAAAATCGATCAAAACCTACATGTTGGTTTGCATTGTTCAAGTTTGGGTAAAACATATGTAACTTACAGCTTTACACATTCTGTACTTTGCATTCTGTACTTTACTATTGTCTATTGCACATGAATGATCTGTTTTTAAAAATAGTAATTTTTACTCAGTGAGAATTAACTTACTCTGAACTCCAAAATAGCAATCTTTTCACTTTATCTTTAAAATGGGACATTATTTTAACAATCAACTGGTTGGACTGTTTGTCAACAGTAAACATAATGATGACAACCCATATGTGTGAAAGTAGCAACTCAAAAATGCAAATAGCTTATTACTGAAAATTCAATTCCTCTCCTAAAGCAATACAGCAATGAGTCAGATTTGAGATCTAAGGTCACGTTTTATCATTCTTGATATGTATTGGTATTGTGTACATACCAATATATAATATTTGCATACCTGTATTTCTAGACATTTGTGTTAGTGACCAACTTTGATGTAATTAATAACTGGCAACAGGTTAATATGGAAAGGATCTACATACACAGTAAAGCTATTTATGAAGATCACTTTTAGTTACCATGGTTAGCTGACAAACAATTTGTTAAAAGAAGTCAAAAGTACATTGGTACAAGCTGAAGTACAATACATCTTGAGTGGACATTTTTCCAGTAATGGCTTATACAACGGGAATGGCTCTAGTCAGCTGGTTGTCACAGTGGCATGAAATTACTACACAGGTTTGGTGCCAGTATTGAGAGGACATTTTGATTCCCTTGGAGACTGTAGAGCTGTACTCTCCAAATGAAAGAAAGAATGCAGCTCTGAACGCCCCATGGCCTTGGTCTGAAGACCATAGTTGTAAAATATAAGGTTGTGCGGAATTTGGGAAAACATTTGTAAATTCAGTCTTAATTTGAAAGCCTGGTTTCCTCAGTTTTTTTATTGGAATCATATGGGAAATCGGTTTCTAAACTAAGGCTGAATTTTAGATAGTTTTCCAAAACTCCACGCAATCCTAAATTTTAAGACACATGTCTTTATGTCTAAGAACAAGAAAATTTCAGGCCCACAGTGGGGAAACAGTGAAATATCCATTTTACAAACCCCTGTTGAGTAAGAACTTTTTACAATCGGAGAAGGAAAACTATTTTCTTTTCTCACTCATGGAATAAACTGAGCAATGCAATGATTATCGCAATGCACCCTCTATAAAAGATATACAAATTTACATCGCAATGTTAATGCATTGATCGTCAGCTGACACAGTTCAACTTCTTCATGCAAACTCCTGTGTGCCTTGCAGCAAAGCTTGAAACTATGATTCTTATGGAGCTAAGGCTGTGTAGCAAGAAGAAACATGTTATTCATTTGCTTTGACAAATCGTTACAGGATGACCTTAAAGAGTTAACTTATTTTCTGAGAAAACAGGTTTCCTTAGTCTCAAGGATGAGAGGATATGGCACAGACTATTTGTATATCAAGGTGAATCCAATTTCCAACTGGGGAAACAGGACTCTTAACACTCTCATCCCCTGACAACTGTCCAATTATGTACATCACACACAGCCTACTGTTTGCAGTAGAAGTAATCAATAAAGGATGTGGTTGAGTGAACATAGATTTTGGCTGAACCAATGCATGAAAACTTAATCATTTGTTCAGTGTGGAGAAATCAAATATAGTAGAGATGAAAACAGCCACTCAGGGGGGTTGCCAATTGTGCCACCAAGTTTGAGGACCACAGCTTTTAGCAATAAGAAATGGGACTGGTGACAGGTGGAAATTTAATCGGCTTCCTTCATTTCATGAATTAATGTAAACACTTTCAATTTAATTTTTCTTCTATGGTCATTTCCAAAATTTCATCTCGGAAAGAACCCGTTTCATTTAATAAATTGTGGTGCTTACTGGACTGTTGAATTGGATTTAATGTAAATGCAGCATGTATAATGTTTGAGTTGTAACATTACAGAAACATCTGTAACTAAAAAAATGCTTCCAGTGGGAAAACACTTAATCATCTCAGATTGACCCCAACAATTCTGGTAATGGAAAACAAATTAGTTTCTCAGAAGTATTTTTAATACAATACGTGCATTTCAAAACTAAAATCAACGTTTAAAATCCTCAAGTTCAATAGCATTTAGATATATGTCTAAAACACAAAAAATGTATAGGGTTGAGGCTGAACATAAGTTAAACCTTTGCTATAACAAAATATCTCAACATTTCCTTCAACCCCTTACACTGTCTCTGAGTTGTGTCTGGAAAATAACTGGATAACTTTCATGAAAGGGTCATTCAAGAAGGGCATTGCTTCAAATTTAAGTACTCTGTAAATGCTTAGCAACAGACCGCTAACAATTTAGTGTTTCACAGTTGAACGAATTTCGACTGACAAGGATGTGCAACCTACCTTACCAAGGCCTTAGACATAGCTTCGTAGGCTTTGCTCAAGCCAAAATCATCATTCAGGAGTTCGGATACTTTCAAATACATTTGTAGATACTGAATAAGAGAAAAAGAAACCAAAATTGTTTTTGAAAAAAGGAGAGAGACAGCCAGTGTAATCAATTATTTCTGAACACATTCTATTTTTCACCTGGCTAATGTTTGTAACGTTATCTGTATAAATAGGAATTTCACAAAGAAACTATTTTATTTTGAAGTCTCTGATATTAATCAATTGAATTATTATTGGTGAAGGCAATAGTTACATTTCATATATTGTTCATATACTATATTATTATATTAATTATGTTAAATATTTTTCATCCAATAGATTCAATAACTCTAACTTTGAGGATTGAAGTTAATTGCCAACTAAAGGCAAGACAATAATAATAATAATAATCCTTGCATTTGATATAACGCTTTTCACGTCGGGAGGACGTCCCAAAGCACTTCACAGAACACACTGTAAAGTGAATTGACTGTATATTTGTGGGCGAACACAGCAGCCAATTGCGCACAGCAATGTCCCACAAACAGTCATATGGATTGAAAATGACCAATTTATTATTGTTTTGTTTTTTTGGAGGGACTATTATTAGGCGTGTGGAGTAAGGAAACTTGCCCAAGGTTTCGCCCTGACCTGCCTGGAATTGAACTCAGGTCTCTCGCTTGCAAAGCGAGTGCTCTAACCACTGAGCTACAGGACTCTACGAACAAGCTAGTCAAGTGGTCTGTGCAAGACTAATGTATTATCAATCATATATGCGAGAGTAGAGAAAGAAAAAATGGGATCACTGGAGCTCAACAGAGGAAACTGTTGAATTCAACTGGAACAGATGCTGAGTCCAGAGTAAATGGTGACTGCAGTGAGAAGCAAGCCTTGGGGTTGAGCACAAGCAGGAAGTTGAGGGAGTAGATAAATACTCCACTGCTATACCTCACTCTGCTGTTAAATCATGCTGTGGACATAAGGGAATATGAAAGCTGATTCCACTGGAGACATCAGAGGAAGTGCTGAGTGTTACAGGGGCAACTGTCTCACATGCCAGGAAACTTTGTCGAATGAAAATTAATAATGATCAATCAGATCATGACAAGTACAGAAACACCAAAGCACTTTGAGATGCAATTTTTTACCATGTGCCAAACTCAGATTCTTGTCAGAGGTTTACAAGGGAGAGAATGGCCACAAACAGCTGAATACTCCAATGTCAGGATTAATATGATAATTAATGAAAAGAAATGGTGGGATTGTCTGCTATAAATGCAAGAACATTCTCTTGTTTTTGATTTAAACAAGCACTAGAAATTAATTAAGATTGGCACAAGTGAACGGTGTATAAATTCAGTTAGCCTATGGCAGACCTTACCCAATAGATATTAGCTCGTTGGAAGTTGGAAATGAAAATTAAGAATGATATTCACACATTGTCTGGACAAATACTGTATCTTCCTTAAAAAGTCAATCACAAAGACCAGGTGATTAGCTACAGATGGGGATGACATTTCATTCATTGGCTCAGCAAAAAAAAGTTGCAGCAGTAATTCTGAACTCTTAAGAAAGTCACACTCTTAATGTATCAGTTCCTCTTAAAAATCTATGGTAGGACCAGAATATATAAGGTCTGGCTTGGGCCCTAGTTTTGGCTCTTGGGAAAACTGCTGAAAACACAAACACGCCATCATCTTTTATCAGTTATCAATCTAGATATTTTCTTTTTGTTTTCTGTACAATGAGAAAGGGTGGTGAATAAATAGCATATTTACCATCAGAATCATAGTAGTTGTCTGGCTGCAGTGATTCTACTATGAGGCATAGTTATCTGTGGTAATAGAATGATTGTTAGGTATTCACTGTGGCCATTTAACCGTCAAATGTAACAATTCAATAATTTCTAAAAAGTAGTTTGCAAACTAACGAGCTGTAAATAATGGAATAAATGACAACAAGGGAGAATTCTTGGGCACCAGATTTTCAAATGGTAGGACTGAGCAGATGAGTTGCAATACTTTATTCCAGTTCTGTATATTCCTATGCAAACTACTGGACACAGGAGAGTCCAATATTGGTACGACTGATCTTGTTCACCTTGTTTAAGATGTAGAAAGCTGGAATACCTTCAGATTATATACTTACCTGGCCTTGCCTTTGGTAGCACTTCCGTTTGACTTGCCTGACTCTTTTACCATAATTGGTGAAGCATTTAGATACAATGGGCACAATTAAAATGCGACACGTTCTGAATTCCTTTTAACAAACTAAAAAGACTTGAAGACAAAACAAAGAACATAAAGGGAAACCCCTTAGAGGTCTACAAATTAAGATGTTTTAAATCAACATTCTGTGAAGCGCTTTGGGACGTCTAGAAGACGTGAAAAGCACTATATCAAATGCAAGGATTATTATTATAACAAGAAAGGGAGTAATACAATACCTGCACTATTTAGAGGGAGANTTTGCAAGTGAAGATTAACTGCCACATACAATATACTCTATGTAGTATTGTGTAACATTTTTCTCATTTACACATTAATTATTTTATTACATGCTGAGAAATGGCAGAAATTGGCAGCCTGTTGTTACTATTACATGATAATTACACTACAAACATTTACATGTGAGGAGGAAGTCTCAAAGCTGTATGTGATGTTTCAGAAAGTTCTGCCTGCCAGTTCCCAAACCGGTTGAGCAAAGTCCACCAGTACATATTTGATTAGGCGAGGTTATAGAGCTAGGTAGAGTAAAGATCAAATACATCACAAAACTTGAAACAAAATTCTTTTCAAGGCAAGCGATCAGGCAGATAGGATCTCTATTTAACATTTCATCTGAAGGACTACACTTCCGACAATGCAGCAACCCCGCCCCCCCATTACTGTGTTGGTGACATCATCCGCAGACATGGGGTCAACTTCCACATGTATGCGGATGACACGCAACTCTACCTCTCTGCCTCCGCCCTTGACTCTAGGACCACTGTTGTGCTGACAGAACGTCTGTCAGGCATCAAGTCCTGGATGAGAGCTAACTTTCTACAGTTCAACGTCAACAAGACCGAGGCGCTCCTGATTGGCTCACGTCAGCGCCTCCTCACCTCAGGCGCTGACAGAATCACCATCCATGGTTGCACACTCCACCTTGCTAAGCCAGTCGGGAACCTTGGGGTCTTGTTTGACCCTCAACTATCCTTTCTACATCTGCGCCATGTCCCGCTCTGCCTTCTCCCACCTCCGCAACGTCACTCGGCTCTGACACTGTCTCACACCGCAGGCCGTTGAAACCCTCATACACGCTTTCATTACATCGAGGCTTGACTGTGCAAACTCATTGCTTGTCAGCCTCCCCAACTCTTCCCTCCACAGGCTGCAGATCATCCAAAACTCTGCAGCCCGTATGCTCTTCCACACTAGGCTCCGCGACCCTATCACCACCATCCTTGCCCAGCTCCACTGGCTTCCCATCACACAGAGGATACAGTTCAAGATCCTTCAAAGCCTTCCATGGTTTTGCTCCACCCTACCTCTGCGACCTCCTAACCCCTACCATTCTGGTCGCTCCCTCCGCTCAGCGGGCACGGCCTGCTTCATGTACCCCGCCTTGCTCGCCCCACTATTGGAGGGCGGTCCTTCCGCCACTCTGCCCCCACCCTCTGGAACTCAATCCCGCAGTCCCTCTCTCAACCCCTCTCTTGCCACCTTCAAGACCCATTTCGAGACCCTCCTCTTCAACCGTGCTTTCGATCTCCCTGCTTCCCCCCCCTGCCCTCCACCCCACCACTACCCTCAGCTCGGGTCCATAACTCTGTCAGTTCAGCGCCTTGGGACGTCCTGCCGACGTGAAAGGCGCTTTACAAATGTAATTTTGTTGTTGTTATTGGAGTAAATATAACCATCTAATCCCTATCCAAATATTTATCCAATTATTTATTGAACGATTTAATTGACAAAGCATTTGTTACTTTACTAGGGTTCTACTAGTTAACTTGTAGAACCTAAATTTGTTAAACTTCTAAACTTGTCAGAGGAAAAACTATTTTTCTAATCTTTTGTTCTGTGGCTCTCACCTTCTCAACTCACAGTTCATGATGAACAGTCTCCTTCAAAGCCCATCTCAAGATCTTGCTCTTTGACAGTGCCTTCACTGTCATCCCCCACCTCCACTACCATTGCCCTCCACACCTTTTGACTCTAACCTCCAGCTCTGGTGCCACTGTCCAACACTTTGGGATGTATTCCCGATTCAATCTGTTGTTCTACTGCTAGTGTAATGACTCTTTTTAAAACCTAACAGGGCAGCCAAAGTACACAGAGCTAGGTGCCACATACAGCCATGAAGTGAGTGACCAATTGTTAGTGATCTGTGTCTCGTGATTTTCACAGTTCTTTTTTGAAGGAGTTAATAGTGCCTGTTTTATTTGGGATACTATGTAATTTATTACTCTGTAGTGGAAAATTACTTTACTTAATGGTCAAGTGCTCATAAAATAGCCTCCTTATACCTAATTCATCTCATTGTTTTAAAGATCTGGTTTATTTCCCTTTCTGTGTTTTATAATGGAAGTTAGAAAATAATGTTTTTATAATGTTCAGTTCTACAAGCCAATCCTCATAACGTATAATTGTGTCCAGGTATCATCATTGTTGCTCCTCTATAACTACCTGAGATGTTTCAATATTCTTTCCCAAAAACACACCCATAACTGGATCTAATTTGCAATATTTCTTAATAAGGAATCCCATTAGAATTCCTGCCGAACCACAGAAACTTCTCCAGGAATAGATTGTATTGGAAAAAAGCTCCTGCAGATCAGCATGATCTCCAATTAATTGCATATTGGATAAAACAGCATATTCCATTTATTCTAGGTACTGAAAATTCACTATTTGTTTGTATAGTATTGCACTGCACTCACATGCATATGGGATAGCCAGGCGATTTCATTTGTATCTGTGCAATCAGTTCAGATAATTGCATTGTTTGATGAATTGACTTACCAGTGAACTTTACAATATGTTAAAATAAATTCTTTAGACAAAGTCAAACACCCTTAGAA